CCTGGAAACTCTTCAAAGAATGCACTTGCCTAAAATAAAGCTACCCTCCTACTGCAGTGTACCTCCTCTGATTAGTTTAGAAAAGCCATGCCATCAACTAAGCACAGCAGCCCAGAGGGATGGTGCGCTGACTGGAAAGTCTTGAGTGGAGCTGTCAACCAACCCCTAATAAATGTAGGCCCTCTGGTTATGCCCCAGACGAGCTCCAATGGTACCTCTTTTTTACCTCTCTGCAGTTCAAAGCTGCTCCAGGATAGCGACTGGAGTGGAAGAGGGACTCTTCCTCTACTCACTCGCTGCCTCCTCACCAAAGACCCAGCACAACTGATGACACATGTATACATTTAGCTCAGAGTCTTGCAACAATTATTAACTACTGCTCTAGTCTCTGAAAAGCTCGTAAAAGCTGCAACAGCTCCCAGAAAGTAGCAGGAAATAGAGAAACCAGTGAAGCACGGTTACCCCTTTCATTATACTGATGAACGAATAATGAGAATCCAGAGCTCTTAATTCCCAGCCAAGGCATTCTTCCCACTGACCACATGTACTACCTTACCCCATTCAACACTCTACGCTCTGTGTCATTGATTCAAAAGTCCTGCATAAAGCCCAGGGTTGACAAGCAACAGCCTGCAAATGATCTTTAATTGTTTTCCCTAGAGTAACCCAGTTTAGTGGTAAAATCTAAGCCTTCTCTCCCTAGAGCAGTAATACTTTCCTTGGGTTTACCTGGGAATCATAATCCAATTGAGCTCGTCTGACCTGGCTATACCATTACTGAGCCACCATCTGAGGCACTGCCACCTAAGTATTTCTGGGGATGCACTCAGAAGTCACTGTCAGCATTTCCAATCTCCATGAGGCTGCTTAGACAGTTTAAGTCACTGTGTCAAGGAAGAGCGTGGGAGATGCAAGAAACAGAAACAGTAAACAGCTGGATGACAGTTTCCGGTATTAGTTAACCCTTACTTTTTTTCAAAACCTATGCAGGAAAACATATGTCTATGCATCTCATTCAAATAGAAATATTAGTCTATTCTGTTTACTACCTCTCCTGAAGGTCTTCTGAGTTTGGGCAGTGTTTTGATGACAAATGACTGTTCTATATGAAGAAACATTAGAGTTGTTTTGAAATGATAAAAATGTGCCATCATTTCTTTGTGAAGATACATAAAGAGCACTTTCCAAAAGTCAATATAATCTCGCACCTTACACCCCTCCTGCAGTAAGCAACAGTTTTTGCTGCCCCTGTTCCAATTTCCAGATCAATCCCTCTTGATTTATGTATGTAAAACAGTACTTCAGTCATTTTCTGTCTGCCTACCTAGACAAAATGCAAATTCTCTACCTGCTTTGGAAGGTCCTACATGATTTGGCCCCTTTCTAAATGGTTACCTTTCTAAACCTATCTCCCACTAATATGCTTTGCAAAAGAATCACTCTAGTCTACTCCCTGTTCTTCAAACAAATTCTATTTTCTGCCACTATATCCTTTATTTATCAGAATATTAGTTCAACTTCTACCTCCTCCATGAAGCCATCACCAGCCCAGGAAAAAGTAGTCATTCCCTCCTATGTTGCATCTCTAGTAAATTTATTCTCTGTACGAATCATACAGTTTAGCATATACCACTCTAGTCATTCAGAGACACGTCATTTTGTCCAGATCAAAGAATAAGCTCCTAGTGGGCAAGGACCATGGACCATGTCTTCTACTTCTGTGTACCCTCATACTGTCCAGCCCAAGTAACCAGCACATAATACCCAAAAAAAACCATTATTGTCAAGTCAATTCCAACTCATAGTGACCCTACAGGACAGAGCAGAACTGCCCCACAGAGTTTACAAGGCTGTAAATCTTTACAGAAGCAGACTGTCACATATTTCTCCAAGAGCAGATGGTGGGTTTGAAGTGCCAAACTTTTGGTTAGCAGTTGAGCACTTAAGCACTGAGCCACTAGGGGTCCTTAGCACATAAGTGCTTATTAAATGTTATTTGCTCAGTAAATGCACGCATACTTTTACACCTACAAAATAATCACACTAGAAACAGCAATACTACCAACCATTTTACCAAGACAAATAAGGAGCTGCAAATTTAAAGCGTCATTTTGGTTTGCTTCAGGTATGATATATCAGAGCTGGCAATACAAGGAAAACTACTCGAAACCCACAAATTAGGCAGAGGATATGTAGACATTTGATATCATCCCTACCTAGCTACATAAAAATTATGTTTTATAAAGTCAAAGGAAGCTCAATCGGCACAAAATCACATGTGGCATTCAAAGCCAAGGCTATACAAAAAAGGCATTTTCAACAGTCTTGGGTGGCCTATAATTCGTATTCTCTGCCTGAGAAATAGTGAATAGATGATTTATTGTCCTAAACTTTAAACCCAGAATAGTTAGATATTTACGCTACATAAGTAGCAGTACTGGCCACACTATATGACAAGAGAAATGTTATGAAACATAGTTGTCTCTAAATTTGGTCACTGATAAAAGTAGAATGATTTTTTTTAATAAACCAACTGTTTTGTACTGCACTTAAGAATTCCTACCTATTTGTATATCTAATAAATATTCATTATTAAGTTAAAAGGAATTATAAAATGGTTGCATATACATCACCCTCTCGGTATTCCCAAATATTATGGGGCCGATTATATAATCCCATCTAACATCTGAATCATAACTCTATAGGTACCATTTACAGTTTCCAGTTACCCCTGGTGGCACAGTGGTTAAGAGCTTGGCTGTTGACCAAACGGTTGGCAGTCTGAATCTAACAGCCACTCCTTGGAAACCCTATGGAGCAGTTCTACTCTGTCCTATAGGGTCACTATCAGTTGGAATCGATGCAACGGCAACAGGTAGTTAACATTATAGTTACCAGTCCCTGGAGAAGAATATCATGCTTGGTGTCTTAGTCATCTGTGCTGCTGTAACAGAAATACCACAAGTTGATAACTTCAACAAAGAGAAATTAATTGTCTCACAGTCTAGTAGGCTACAAGTCCAAATTCAGGGCATCAGCACCAGGGGAAGGCTTTCTCTTCTCTGTTGGCTCTGGAGGAAGGTCCTTGTCATCAACCTTCCCCTGGACTAGGAGTTTCTCAGAGCTGGGACCCTGGGCCTAAAGGATGCAGTATATACCAGGTGCTTCTCTCTTGGTGGTGTGACATCCCCCCCACCCCAGGTCTCTCTTTATATCTCAAAAGAGATTGACTTAAGACAAAATCTAATCTTGTAGATCTGGTCAACGTAACTGCCAAAAATCCACCTCATTAACATCATAGTGATAGGATTTACAACTCATTGGAAAATCACATCAGATGACAAAATGGTGGACAATCCCACAATACTGGGAATCATAACCTAGCCAAGTTGACAGATACTTTTGGGGGACACAATTCAATCCATGACACTTGGTAAAGTACCGGGTTAGTGGAAGAGAGGAAGATCCTCAACAAGATGGACTGACAGAATGGCTGCAACAATGGGCTCAAACATACCAACAATTGTGGGGATGGTGCAGGGCCAGGTAGTGTTTTCATTCTGTTGTACAAAGGGTCTCTATGAGTCGGAACTGACTCCACGGCACCTAACGACAACAACACAGTTACCATTTGGCTTTTGCAACTGAACAGCAGCTACTTAAGGTCAGATTCCTCCTCCATCCAAAACAGAAATCAGTATCAGACAACGATGAAGCTAAGCAAAGTCAGGATTATATTTCTAAATGTCAACCTGAAAAGTCAAGAATGTGATGATGATGATCATCATCATGATACACAGTAATAGCGCAGCAGATACTTTTATAGTACTTATTATGTGCGAAGCATGACCTGATATCTTTACCTATGGGTACTTATTTAATCCTCAAAAGAATTCTGAGGCATGCAGTTATCATTCTAATCCCATTTTACAGATGAGAAAACTGAGGCACACAAAGGTTAAATAACTTACTCAAGGTCACACAGCTAGTAAGTTACAAGGTCAGGATTCAAATTCAGGAAGTGTAACCTCAGAGCCCAGGCTCTTAACCACCTGCAGTATCCCTTTCTGAACTTCCAAAACATGCTAATACCCCCTTTATCATCACTTTTCCACAAATACATCTACATGTTTTTAAAAATGCAATAAAACTATTTGTATTTTTATCTTGTACTTCCTTTGGAAAAAATTCCTAAAAAAATTTATTGTCTCAACAGGTTGCGAGCATGAGCATTAGAGTCAGGCAGACCTGGGTTAAAGTTCTGGCTCATCTGTGTGAGTGATTCTTGACCCTGAGGAGGTTATTTAACTTCTCTGTACTTCAGTTTCTTCATTTGGAAAATGGGGACAGGAGTACCAATTTATAAGGGTGTTATGAGTACTAAATGAGATACAGCATGAAGACACTGAGCATAGCACCTGGAACACAGTGAGTATTCAATAAATGTTACTTAATATTATTACTATTATTAGTACTAGTAATAGCTCTTCTATTTGTTTCACATTTACCTGTTTCAAACTTAAGGTAAATTGCTTCCAATTCCACAGTACTGGAATCTGATAAATAGATTTTATCAATACCTTCTGAAACAAGAGATACAGTAATCTCCAAAATTAAGACTGCAATGCCTGTAAATCACTGTAGAAATGTTTCCTAATAATATATGTTGGTAGCTGTATGTTTGGTGGCACAAAAAGTAAGGTGGTCAACATATGCAATAATGGTAAAATGCGGAAAAAGAAAACCTCATGAGAATTAATTCACGAAATGTCAAATACCAGAAGCTGAGAATTCTTCAAGCCAATACTGAAATTACCTACAACAGGCTACAAAAACCACTTCCTGTATTTCTGAAGTCTGTATCTTGAGAAGACTGTTTATTGAATGACTGGGGTGAAGATGTTTCACAGAGATAAGAATGCAAGCAGAGAAAAAATACTCAGAAATCAATAGCAATTTATATCTTTTACCTGAAAGGAAGGCAGTGGGAAAACACTTACTAGTATCCGGAGTTTTCTCTTCAGATGTGCCAAATAAAAATTCATATTTGGCCTTGGCAACACTCTGGGAATGTGCTGATGCATTGTTAACCCAAACAAATGTCTCTGCCTGCAAAATTAGAACAAAACGAAGACATCATTAAAAAGACATTATAAGAAAACACATCAAAAAACAAGCTATCCAACAAGGGGATGATTATGCAATCCTGATTTATCAACTTGACGGAATCCTATACAGATACTAAAAATGAAAATTGCTAGAACCTGAAAAAAATCATAATACAAAACTATCATTTCATGATTACAACCAACTAAAAAAGATATACATATGAATACCTATAGGGGAATAAGGAAAAAAAGTTTGGCTTGATTGCATGATAGAAGTATAGTAGGGTTTTTTAAATTAAAATTATGTTACTTTTCTCCCATTGGAAAATTATATTTTATTTTTAAACACATCATTTTCCAAGAGATTATCATTACCAACAGAAAGACTACTTCTAATGGGTAGGTTCTGTTAAAGTACGCCAATAAAAAGCAGTCTATCCCCAAAAGAGATCACTATTAATCGGGAACACCGTTCAGTCAAACAGGGCATGAAACAGAACTGCCAGGTATCCTATTTATACTGTTTGTCCTAAATTTGAGCATCTGCCCCAGTGTCCTTTGGAATTCATGAAAGTCTCTTATTTGAAAGAAAAACCATGAAGATGACAGTGAACATGGTTCACATCATGATTCTGAATTCCTAAGACTTTCTTTCTGGCTGCTTTAGGCACTTGCAACTCTCAGGAGGGGCTCCCTTCTCTGGCCTAGGAGTAATTCAAAACAAGCAACAAGATGGAAATTTCAAAACACAAAGAAATTTGACCTGGCCAGTCAAGAAGACATTTTTCTGCCTCTTCACTCTGAACTCAAACATTAATCAGCATCCAGACATTACCACACTGGTTATGAGACATCTATCTTCTTTTCTCATGTCTGAGCATCAAGAGTTCATTAACTTTGGGGAAGAAAGACATGAAAGGTTTTAGCAGCAACCAAGTAAGTACTTCAAAGTAGGAAGATTTCAGGACTTCTATTACATCCCTTTGGAGCCCTGGTAGCACAGTGACCAAAAGGTCAGCAGTTCAAATCCACCAGCCACTCCTTGGAAACCCTATGGGACAGTTCTACTCTATCCTATAGGGTCGCTATGAGCGGGAATCGACTCAGTGGCAATGGATTTGGTTTGGGTCTTAGTATATCCCTGGAGCAGAAATGACTGGCAGTGGTGAGAAGGTCCAGTCATAACTCCATCACCCTCATTTCACACAGGTTCAGTGGGCAGGCCCCTCTCTGTTCTTCAATACCAGTATCAAAGAACTAGCTTGTACAACTTTTTTATCTATTCATGCAAGTTTATGTTTTCACATTCAAATTTATATCAGTTAATCAATTAAGAAAAATTAGACTATTTTGATGAGTATACAAAAAAATTAATCCATGGATTGCAGATGACAGCTGTAGTCATATTATCAGTCTCAGAATCCTATTTCTGTATTTTTTATGGGTAGATACTACTGACAAAATCAGAATTACTAATCTGCAAACAGGGCCTCTGCATAGAGCTGTGAGCACTGTGTACTCATAACCCCAGGAGACACCATTCACATCACAGCCTATCAGACAGCACCAGCACTTCTCCTGAAGTCTTCCTGTTAAAATGTAACTCCGTACATCCTGTTGCTAAGATCAAAGCCATTCTCTTGATTTTTTTTTAACTTCTGTTTCATCCAATTTCTACATGTACAATTCAGTGACACTTAAACTATGTTCTTCAAGTTGTGCTACCATTCTCCCTATCCTTTTCCAAATTATTCAACCACATTATCTTAAACTCACTGCTCCCTAAGCTTCCCATCCAACCTTCTGACCTGCCGTTGTCAATCTGGAAACCCTGGTGGTGTAGTAATTAAGAGCTATGGTTGCTAACCAAAAGATCAGCAGTTCAAATCCATCAGGTGCTTCTTGGAAACCCTACAGGCAGTTCTACTCTATCCTGTAGGGTCGCTGTGAGTCAGAATCAACTTGATGGCAACGGGTTGTCAATTTGATCCAGCAGAGATAATTCTTTAAGAGAGTGCAATGCTCAAAGTAGACATACTTTAGTAATTCAGATAAGATAATTTTTGATTAAAAAGAGACTTCAGGGGATAGTTTTGGTTTAAGGTTTAAAGTTTACATTGGGGTAGTTGTTTGGAGGGTTCATCCAGCCTCAATAGCTCTAGAAAATTTGGATTCCATAAGAATTTTAAACTCTATTTCACAATTTCCCCCCTTTTGATCAGGACTCTTTTACAGAATGTTTGATCAAAACATTCAGAAATGTTAGCCAGGCGCCATCCAGTTCTGGTCTCATGGCAAAGGAAGCAGTTGTTCATGGAGGCAAGCAGACATGCATTTGACTTCCTCCTCTGATTCCTGACTCTCCTTCTTCCTCTGTTGCTTCAAGTGAATGGAGACCAACTGTTGTAACCTGGATGGCCACTTGCTAGCTTTTAAGACCCCAGTCACTTCACAACAAACTAGAAGAGAGAATAGAAGTACTGGGAAACAATATTAGGCCAATTGATTGGCATGTCTCTCAAAACCATGACTCTAAACCTCCAAACCAAGAAAACAAATCCTCTGAGGTGTCTGGTTGTACATAAGCAGCCTCAACAGTGTCTTTCTGTTTTGTTTTGTTTTTCCTGGTAACAAAATATGTAACATTTGCTAACTCAACATTTTTCAAGTGTACAGAGATCAAAGCCACTCTTAACTCCTCTTTTTTTCTTATTTTTAATGTGTGGGTAGAAACTGTGAGTCTACAATTTTATAAGAGCAATGCCTTTACCCTAATTCTGGTTGTTCCCCACTTGAGGAGAAAAAATTCATAGTATTGAACACCTCTGCACGCTAGAATCTTTAAACAAATCTCTCTGCAGCTTGGCTGATGCTCCTCTGCTGGGTACATATTCCATGTGACTGACTTAAAAACCTTTATCTGCACTGACATGGAAAGGAAGTTTCACAATATTGGGGAATTTCCTATTTCTTTCCTTATAAGGTGTGTACTTTGACTTTTTTTTAACATTGTATTTTAGATGAAGTGTTACAGAGCAAATTAGTTTCTAATTAAACAATTAATACACATTTTGATTTGTGATTGGTTGCCAACCCCACAACATGTCAACACTCTCCCCTTCTCCTCCTTGGGTTCCCCATTACTGGCTTTCCTGTTTCTCCGGCCTTCTTGTCCTTGCCCCTGGGATGATATGTCCATTTAGCCTCGTTTTGTTTGGTGAGCCTGTCTAATCTTTGGCTGAAGGGTGAACCTCAGAAGTGATTTCAGTACTGAGTTAAAAGGGTGCCTGGGGGCCATACTCTCCGGGTTTCTCCAATCTCTGTCAGACCAGTAAGTTTGGTCTTATTTTGTGTATGTGAGTTAGAATTTTGTTCTACATTTTTCTTCAGCTCTGTCCAGGACCCTCTATTGTGATCCCTGTCAGAACAGTCAATGGTGGTAGCCAGGTACCATCTAGTTGTGCTGGACTCAGTCTGGTGGAGGCTGTGGCAGTTCTGGTCCATTAGTCCTTAGACTAATCTTTCCCTTGTGTCCTTGGCTTTCTTCATTATCCCTTGCTCCCAATAGGGTGAGACCAGTGGAGTATCTTAGATGGCCACTCACAAGCTTTTTAAGACCCCAGACACTACTCACCAAAGTAGAATGTAGAACATTTTCTTTATAAACTATGTTACACCAATTGAGCTAGATGTTCCCTGAGACCACGGTCCCCAGCCCTCAGCCCTCAGCCCTCAGCCCAGTAATGTGGTCCCTCAGGGAGTGGGATGTATCTATGGAGCTTCCATGACCTTGCCTTCGTCAAGTTGTGCTGGTTTCCCCAGTATTGTGCACTGTCTTACCCTTCACCAAAGTTACCACTTATCTATTGTCTATTTAGTGTTTTTCCATCCCACCTTCTCCCTCCCTCGTAACCATCAAAGATTATTTATTTTTCTGTGTAAACCTTTTCATAGTAGTGGTCTCATACAATATTTGTCCTTTTGTGACTGACTTGTTTCACTCAGCATAATGCCGTCCAAATTAATCCATGTTGTGAGATATTTCACAAATTTATCATTGTTCTTTACTGTTGCATAGTATTCCATTGTGTGTATGTACCACAGTTTGTTGATTCACTCATCTGTTGATGGGCATATAGGTTGGTTCCATCTTTTTGCTATTGTGAATAATGCTGCAATGAACATGGGTGTGCACATGATTTTGACTATTTTTTAAAAGCTGTTTCTTCTCTTCTCATATTATTTTTGGTTTTACAGATTTAAAACATTTGAGATAAATAGTTTCAAACAGTTTTGTATATATTATGCAAATGAAAAACTATAGCAACAATTCAATATGGTGAGAATTTTCTTCCTATAACTCAAACAATTCTGAGAGTAATTTCTTAAAATGGCTCTGCAATCACTTAATGCTCATATTGTATAAAATTTCTTTCTGAGAAAGGTGCACACTCATATTGGTGCTACATGCTTGATAACCACAGTGCGATAATTATCCTTTTCCTCGAGAGAGGAAATATTAATTTTTTATGTTTCTGGAGCTTCAAGCTGGTAAAAGAGGAACTTGGCCAAGGGGCTCCGATAATAGATGCCCTAGTTTAGGTAGGCAGTTAGAGAAGGTTCTCTAAGGAAATGATACTTACAGAGATGAGAAAGATGAGAAGATTTGGAAGGAGAGGGGACATCCATCTAAGCCGAGAGAGGGCCATATGCAACGGCCTTAAGCTTTGAAAGGACTGCTGCTGTTGTTGCTGTGTGCCGTCAACCCTATATGACAGAGTAGAACTACCCCATAGGGTTTCATCCTTACGGGAGCAGATCTCCAGGTCCTTCTCCCATGGAGCCGCCAGGTGAGTTTGAACCGCCAGCCTTTCAGTTGGCAGCCAGACTAGCCTACTCAAGATACTGACAGAAGGCCAATGGAGCCACAAAATAGTAGGTGAATGGGCAAGTTTAAAGACTCATAGGGAGAATCACACAACAGGAAGTAAGACTGGAGGG